AAATTCCTGTAACAGACAGACTATCTTATCAATAAGGATTTACATGACTATCTGGTGGGGAAGTTGCTTCAGCTACCATTGTCTGGACTAACTGGGTGCACGGCTCTGAACTTGCTAGGGCTTCAAGGGTCACCAGCCTTCAGATTCTCTGTCTATACTTCTCTGCCAGTGAAGACAATAGGTGGTCTTCCACATCATTTTTTTTTTTGAGAGAGAGAGAGGGGAAAGGAGAAATATTAATTTGTTGTTCCACTTATTTATGCAATCATTGGTTGATTCTTGCATGTGCCCGCAACCTTGCTATATCATGATGATGCTGTAACCAACTGAGTGACCAGGCCAGGGCAGCATACTCTTCTTTTACATCCTTCAGATTTTTCTCGTGTCACATTCTCAGTGAGACCTTCCCTGGCCATATCATCTAAAATTTCAACACCCTCTCTACTCACTTCCTATCCCATTTCCTGCTTTATTTTTTCTCTCCAGCTAATCTGATATACATTTTACTAAATTGTTATACTTGTTAGTCTCAGTCTCTTGCACCAAACTCTGTGAGGCTGTTTTCTTCACTTCTTTGTCCCTTGTGCTTAGAATAAAGCCTGTCATGATAGGTACTTACTTAGGAAACATCCTATATAATATAAGGCTAATACATAAATTGTCCCCGTGGGCGGGAGTTCGACTGACCAAGAGTTAGATGTGCACTGACCACCAGGGAGTGGCATGGAACATGGCGGGCCTCGGCAACATGGCGCTGGCAGTGGATGACCGTGGAGGTGCTGCCCTCCCAAGTGGGCTCTGTCGAGAGTGGGACTGTGGCGGGATGGTGGAGCAGGGGAGTGGGTAGTGCCAGGCCAAGGTGGATGTGAAGGAAGGTCCAGGCCGGTGACAGCAGCAGACAACCAGGGGAGGCCCCAGCTGGCAGCCAGCAGCTGCTAGAGACCCTACCTGTGTGTGAATTTCGTGTACTGGCCCTCTAATCTATATATATACAAGGCTAATATGCTAAGTGCCCATCCGACTGGTCACTATGATGTGCACTTACCACCAGGGGGCAGATGCTCAACGCAGGAGCTGCCATAAGGTGCACTGGCCATTTACAGAGAAACGGTACCACAGACCTGGCACCCACAGAGCAACACTCAGCTTCCCCCAAGTGGGACACAGGCCCCATCACTACTCTGGAGCAACAGCCCACCAAATCAAAGCCTACATTACCGAGACCCCATGGTACAAAATGCGGCCCACAGCCCAGCCCAACCCGGAAATGGTGACTGTGGGTGCCAGGTAATGATGTCACATAGCAACACCCGGCTTCCTCTCCCTTGTGACTAGCCCCCTAGGAGTTTCTTTAGCCCAGCAACTTGACTTGCTTTATAGACAGGTGGAAACATTTCACTTTAACCAAATGTGAGTGAAGCGTTTTTCCATGCCTCATTTCATTTGATCCTCACAGAAGTCCTGGAGTAGGTAGATAGGACACTCAGTGGAATTCTATTTTCATTAGCCAGAAAACAGAGATTTAGAAACTTGACCTGACTGAAAAGAAGGAAGAAATAGTGGACCTTGAAAATGACTTCAGGTTTTCTCACTGCGCAGAATATAGTCAAACACTGCTGCAGTTAAATATTTTACCCTTTGTTCTCCCTGCATGATCTACAATAATAATCTGCTTCATGTTGATATTTACTGCTGTGTTGCTGACAATTATCTGAAAGAGAAGTTGGGGTGCTTCACTGGGCTGGAAAAAGCGTAGCTATCTCAGAAAGCAGGTCTAATTAAGCAAGTTTATTCTACAGTAGGTCCTCAGGTTACATCAGAGATCCGTTCCTACGGAGCGATGTAACGTGATTTTCGTTGTAAGTCAGAACCCACCTACATAAGCACCTACGCCACTCACATGGAGCACATACACAGCAGTAATGAAATGAAACAGTAAAAAAATTTAAAAGAAAGATGCTAATTCCTGACCTTATGGTAAATAATAAAAAACATAAAGCACATACGTACATGTGTTGAATGACGGAACTTTTTTAATATATAAATAAATGGGAGATGGTGACCTAACCATGAAACAACGTAACCAGAGGACTGTCTGTACTTCTATAAAAGGCTAAGTTGACTCACGCATGCATGATACATATAAAGCTCTCACTGGCGCCAGTTGCACACGTGTTTCCATCTGTCATTGTCGATCATGAATTTGGTTGACCTTTTTAAAAAAATGTCAATTAGCACCATTTGACATAGTATACATTTTTTTATTGTCTCTTTTCCCTGTAGATTTCAATTTCCACAAAGGAGACGACTGTATCGCCAATGCCTTAGAAGAGCATTTAACTCTTTTGGTGGGTACTCAATGGTTATTTCCTGGATGAATTAATGAACCAATTCTGTCCAAAAGCATTCCCTCCGGGACCACAGACACTGCCAGGGTGGCCATGAGGTTTCCAGCACAATGGAGAGCTCGCCAGTGGGCACTCTAAACTCCTTCACTCCATAGGACTCCTCAAAGAAAGACACCGCTCTTTGCTGGGAACTGCAAAAACAACCGTGTTCCCCAGTTCATTTCTGCCCCTAAAATTTAACCGGCGACTTGACAGCTCGGGCCAATGCGGCGAATAAAAGTATTTAGCAAGTCACTTTGTAAACTGGAAGGCGTTCACCAAAGTTTAACGGGTTTACTTGACTGCCACCGGCACTGTCAAGCAGTCGGAGAACAACAGCTAGTTCCCAGCAGGAGAGTCCGGGCCGCACGGGGTCCCGCACCGCGCTCCACC